GTCTCAAACTTCATGTTCTCATTTCCAGCCTCCACCTCCACTCGACCCTGCAAAATCAAGACAGACGTTTATGTTTTTTAACAGTTAAGGCTGCAACAGTGTCATTCATTCTGTTCATGTGGATTTACTCTGCAAACTCATCCTCAAGCCTTGTGCTGAGCCACATGCAATATTTCAGAACCAATGAAAAATTAAGGCAGACATAATAGATGATTTAAAATACCTATTTTTATTTAAATGACCGCAGCATTTTGGAACATTTATGTTCTTAGATTCCAGCTATCCGTTTAATCTGAAGCTAATGTTTCTATGCCAAAATAATACAAAAGATCTTACGCATTTTGACATAAATGCAGCGAAACATAACGTGGCTCTAAAATTTACATGCCTCAAGTCATGACTTGAGGCATGTAAATGTTCTGTAGTGAACACTTTGGGGCTGTGCATATCAGACGAGGTCATGTCCTCACGACAGAACGAAACTTTCAGCAAACTGATTAAACATACGTGTGAAAGAGAAGGAGAGAGAGTTTTTATTTAAAAGGCATTTATTTATTTCTTATTATCCCTGTTCTCGCTAATCACAGGCTAACAAGTCACTGTTATCGTATTTTCACTGCATATAGTACTGTGTATGACTGTGTATGTGACAAATAAAATTTGAATTTGAATTTGAAGTCCCTGCATATGCTGTAGTGTCCTTGGGTAAGACGCTAACCCCAGTGTCGGTTATATAACGACACAGCAGTGCTGTGCGTGTGTGGCGCACCTTAAAAATAAAAATAAAAAATTTACTTTGATTTTGTCCATCAAGTATTTCAAAGCCTTATCCAGTTTGCCATCATGTATGACAATAAAAAGGAAGAATTCCTGATATTTAAAAACAGACTCACTGGCTATCTTTGGTCATTTTGATTAAAAATATTACTGGAGATACTGATTTACTTTCTGTTAAATCAGTCAATTCTTTTCCCTAATTAAGTCCTAAAGCACTGGAAGATCATAATTTCTGCTGAGCAGCCCTGACCTTTCTTTTCTTTTCTGTGAAATTATACAATTTGGCCTCTAGAGGGCGGTGCAATAGCAGGTGAAAAAGCCGTATAGCAGTTATTAGTGACCATACTCAGGAGATGTTTTGCATCACTTGTGGGAAGAATTAGGTTTACTCTGGGCTTGATCAGACATCAATAAACACTGTGAAACATGATACACATCTGGCAATGCTGCTGTCTGCAGAGGGAGGATGTGATGCAATGGAGAGAAAGGGGAGTTAGAGTAGCACAAGTTTCTTTGTAAAGAGATATGGAAGAGAGATTAGGGGCACACAGAGGCAGATGGAGGGATAAGAGGACAGAGGACAGGACAGAAGGGGGTTAAGGAGGCCTCTGTGTTGGAGGCAGTTGGCCCGGATCGTCCTGCTGGAATGTGTGAACTGCAGCAACAACACAGCACAGTTAATCCATGCTGCCATCCCTCCTTCACTCCATCCTCCCACCCCGCTGCAAATGGACTGAGCTGATGAAAACATAACAGGTGGTAAAATAAAAGGACAACAAAAGAAAGAGATGGGCAAACAGGACGGAGGGTGGGCCGTGCTTACAGCAGTGACAAATGCAGCAGGACGATTAGCTTAGGACTTAAATTCTAACATCTGAATGAGCTTGCTGTTAAGTGTTGATTAAACCTAATTTGGAATTTTTGTGCAGATTTTAAAGCTTCCACCACAGCAGCCATAAAATATTTTATGTCTTTGGCTAATATTTCAGTTTAATGTTGAAATGACATTAATAAGGTGTCAACTTTACCAAAAACAGAAGGTAAGCACTGCTCTAAAAATGCAGGTTTGCATTCATGTTTCAGGAGTTTATTAAGGATTTATGTGGATAAAAATGCATATCATCAGCATGCAAAACCTGCAGACACAGATTAATAACTCAGCAATCAAAATCATAAAAACCTAACAATCAGAAATGATTGTTTTAACTTAATTATCTGTGGATTTCCCTTTAAGACCTCCTGGTTCACCACGAGCAGCCAACAAACACAATTAATCTGATATAACCATCCATTGTGCTATTTTAGGGAGCGTGCCAATTTAGAAACCTGGCTTTGTTGTTACAAGAGATGAGAGGGCGAGAGAGTGTATCCGTCACTGGA